AGTAATTCCAAAAGCGCCCTCCTTATTGCGCCCTGAGGTGTGAATAGTTTTTGGGGGCAAGTAATTATCAAAGCGCCCTCTAATCGCGCCTACTCATGCAAGTAATTCCAAAAGCGCCCTCCTTATTGCGCCCTGAGGTGTGAATAGTTTTTGGGGGCAAGTAATTCTCAAAGCGCCCTCTAATCGCGCCTACTCATGCAAGTAATTCCAAAAGCGCCCTCCTTATTGCGCCCTGAGGTGTGAATAGTTTTTGGGGGCAAGTAATTCTCAAAGCGCCCTCTAATCGTGCCCCACAAGTTATCCCTAATGCGCCTTAGGTACCGTTAACAGCAAAGCAGCAAGGCAAAGGTAATGCGCCTTGAGAGAAGTGATGGCAAGAAGTCAACTAGTTCATATAATAAAAAAAGGGGGGGAAACAGACTACTTGTTCATAAAAAAAAAAAAAAAAAAAGGTAGGACATCCTTCACTTGTTCATTCACGCGCCGTCACTCGACGCTGTTCTCCTCGTCAACCTCTTCTTCCTCCGCCTCCACCTGCGCGGCCACACTCCCTCTTCCACCGCTAGGCGCATCATCATTCGCCGGTGGAGCATCCGCAGCAGCCGAGGCGCCCGCCTGCTGGATCTCCATGGCCTTGACGACGTGCTCAATGAGAGCGATACTGTCAAAGGCCAACTCTGGGTGGTCAGCCTGGAACTTAGCTTGGAGAATCTCAACAGTGCTGATCACGACATTGGCTTGGAGGTCTTTGCCGGCGTCCGATTCAGGGAAGTGTGCTAAGTCCTGGTTCAGGCGCCCTACCTCGGCCTGAGACTTCTTCAGCTCACGCTTATAATGCGCCCGGGACTTCTTGGTCTTCTTATGCGCCTCCTCCAAGTCGTCGACAGCCTGATGCAGCACGATCTTCTCATTCAGCAACGCGTCCCGCTCCCGAACGAGCGCGGCGCCCCTTTCACGGAGATCATGCGTCACCGTCTCCCACTCAGCCTTGTCCGCCTCGGCCTGCGCCTTGATTTCCCCTTCTAGCTCAGTTCGGGCCTTGAGGCGCTCGGCCGCCAACTTGGCATCCAGGTCGGACTTCGCAGCATCCAGATCCTTCCGCAGGCGCTCGGCGGAGATGGCCGCGTCCGTGCCCTCGCGGGCTATCGAGGCAATCTCACGCGTGGTGGCCTCGCAGAGGAGCATCATCTGAGGCGCATCGATGAAACACAGCAAATAGTTACACGCAAATATTAATTAACATGATAAGGGAATTGTTATGCGCCTCGTTACCTGGACGCTCATGTTCGTCAATTTCGTCCAAGGCTTGTCAGAAATTAGGCCACCCGGATGCTCTATCACATCGTAGTGCGCCTTGGCCATTGCCATGGCCGCCGGGACATCCTTGGCCGCCCGGACGGGCATGTCTACTGGCACCTTGACGAGAGGGCGCCTGGACTGAAGGTATGGAGGAATCACCTCCCCAGTGTGCGCCCCAATGGTGGGCTCCACGAAGCTGCGGGGCAGACCCGGCTCGCGAATGGTGGCGGACTTGACCTTTTTCCCCGGGCATGGTAAGGCGCCGCCCGCTCTTTTGCGCGACCCAACGGAGGAAGGCGAGGGAGGCGTGCTCACCCCACCTTTCTCCCGAGGCGTGGAGTGAGAAGGCGAGGCTGAAGCAGATGAGGCTTGCGTATCCGAGGCAGGCGAGTCATGAGCGGTCGCCTCCCCTTCGGGGGCGGCCGGCGAAGGCGAGGCGGTGCGCCCCCTTGAAGAAGCGCCAGCAGCAGCGGGTCTTTTCACCCTTAGCCTCGTAGGCTGCGTCCTGGCCGGACGAGGCGCCTGTGCAGCGGGAGCGCCTTGGCCGACATTGGCATTGCGGAGGCGGTCGAGCTTTGACTTAATTAGGTTCGTCACCGAGGTAAAGTCAGTCCCTGCACCAAGAAAAGAAACGAGTTAGCCCGAGTACATCATAACATTAGCAAAGACGCATAACCTATGAGAAGACACATAGTCAGTACCGTCGCCGTAGAAATCGGCGAGAACATAAGCGTAATCATTCCCGGCATCGAGATCAATGGGGTGGGCCGATATACTCTTCGCCATGTCTAGCTCAGCCTGGCTTAGAGCCTCCACTTTATTAAATTCGAAGAGGTTCCCCAGCGACCACTCCGAACTCACAGGGCGCCCACTCTCAAAGAAGGGCACCTCACGTGGTTTGACAAAGAAAAACGAGTCAAACCACGAGCGCCCCATTTTTCGGCAGCTGCTGATGAACCCATACCCTAACTTACGCCTTTGTAAGATCAGGCAGTTGTCACTCCTAATCATTTTAAAGAAGTGTTTGAAAAGTTTAAAAGTGGGGGGCACGTTGTGTCTTCGACACTGGTAGCGAAAGGCGATGGTGGACAAAATAATGGAGGGAGAGAGGCGCGCAAGGGGACACGCGCAAGCAACCATGACGCCCTCAAGAACGGGCTCGATGGGGAAGCGTAGGCCAAATCGGATGAATTCTTGATACAGGCCCACCCATCCCTCTCCGCACAACCCGATCCGCGCCTCGGGAGGCGCATGAATGTATCTCCAGGGCGCAGGTAGTTGCGCGCATACAACCAATTTTTCTAGGCGCACCCCAAGTTGTTTCGAGGCGTGATGTGGCCCGGCCTCTTCTAGGGGCAACAGGTAAGTGTTTCGAGGCGTATAGCCGGGAGGCCACATCGAGTCCCAGGGCCGAAACATGTAGTCTTGGGGCACGGGAGCGCCTGAGTAAAAGGAAGGGGCAAGGTGTAAGGTAACGGAGTGCGTAGGGGGCGCTTCAACCCTACGCTAAGTGTAAAAGAAAAAAAAAAAGCCGCCTGAACCCTATGGCATTGCGACACATGCTAAAAAATTGAGTGAGAGTGATCCGAAGATAACAAGGAAGGCGCATGAAGGAAGACTTACTCGATGTGGCAGGGGTTGCAGAGGCATTCGGGGCGTCACGAACAACGGGCGCCTCGGGTTGCAGTGGTGCAGAGGAAGTAGGAGGCGCCTCGGTTGGAGGGGGAGAAGACCCGCGTTGGGGGGCAGCCGCCTCGGCGGAAGGCGCATTCGTGCTGAGGGGGATTTGACGGGAAGAAGCCATTGCAAGCGAGGCGCGTGGGGAAGAAAAAGGCGAGAGCAAGGGAGAAGAGGGAAAACTAGAGAGAGGAAGTAGAGAGAAGGAATCTGCGAATTGTGAGGGTTGTGGGGGGGGGGGGGAGAAAAGAATTTATAGGGAGAGGATTGGCGAGCGAAGGAGAGAAAGGGAGGGGAGGCGAACAGACTTCCCCAATCCACTCCCAATTTTTGAAATTTGAATTTCAAAACGCGAGCGGATTGGGGGGAGGGAAGATAGAGGAATCATAAGGGAGACAGGGCACGGAAAAAGAGGCGGAAACCAGGCAAAAAGCATGGATAAATAATAAAGAATAAAAAAAAATATAATAAAAGTAAATAATGGATAGCGAGGAAAAGAACGTGTACGCACATGAGTACAGGCGAATGATGGAGCAGGCGCAGGTCTAAGCAGATGTGCGGGAAAAGAAGAAAGAACACAGTCAGGCCCCTAACTTTGAGTGTTAGGCGCCTAACTGGGGGGCAATTGTTGGGGGAATGAGCATGGGCCAGCCCAGAAGGGTAAAGCCCAAGATGGGTTACAAGGGACCGGGGGCACGAGCCCAACAAGGGGACAGAGAAAGCCCATGAGGGCAGGAACATTGGGCTGAAGGGCGTCCAGACTTGGGCCTGGGCGGCCGAAGACAGCATGAGGGACAGGTGGGACCAGGTCCCTGGCGAAGGGCGCGTGAGACAAAGGCAAACAACGGTCGGAAGTGTACGAAAAGCTGAACAGATGATGTCACACGCCTTCGATCTCTGACCAGCGTGTCAGATGGTCGAGGCGCATGAGCTAGGGGAGTACGATGCATTTATGGCGGGTCTGACACAGGGCGAGAGCGACGTGTACCGGTCGATCTCGCCCCGGGTATAAATAGTCGAGTAGGTAAACCTCATTTACTCAGTTTTTGCTTCTCTTACTAGAATCGTTCTACCACTTCTCTCTCTAAAAAGTAGGTTCTGACTTGGGCGTTGGAGTGCTAACGGACCAACCTGGTCCGCAAGGCGCTTGTGTGAGTGCAGGAAGGCGGACGCACGGGGAGCGGGGGCATCCGAGGCGTGAAGCGCGTGAGGGAGGTTACCAGGCATAAACACAAGTATTAGTGGGTTTTGAAGAACCTCTAAAACATATTTGTTGTGTATCAATCAGGAATTTGGGGTTGGATATAGAAGTTGTCCACTTCAAATGCTCATCCCTTCTCAGAACAATTTTATATGTCTATTCCCTTCTGGTTTGATTCTTGTTGTGGCTTGAGTCCATTCTATGAACTCGTATCTTCTGGTTTCTATGCTTAAAGATTTATGTTACAATTTATATTGGTTTTGTAGTTTTTCCTTGTTCATTTCTTTATTTGGTCTTTTGCAAGGTTGCAAACCGGTTTGTGCCAGTGTGCCTGTTTAGCAAGTGGAATGGTTCGACCGGTGGTACATACCGGTTTGTGCCGGTTCATGCCGGTTAATATTACAAATAATTTACAAATACTTATATTTAAGCACGACATTTAACGTCAATACCTAAATATTTGTACTTGAATCCAACAAATAACATCAATATTTAACTTTTTAACACATAAAATAAATAATAAATTACTTTTTATCAAATAAATTCACTAATATAAGATCATTTTACTTAGAGATTCGTATATCGATCATGCCGATCATACCAGTGGTGTCATACCAGTTTTATAACCGGTACAGGTTCAATCAGGTTCAACGAGTGATACGCTGGCCGGCGTGACAACCATGGTCTTTTGACGTCTCCTGCTCATGGATAAGTGATAAATTGATAAAGTCACAATATTTCACAAAGAAAGATCCCCGTTGGAGTCCCAATCCCCTCGTCACGTTTCCCCATATACAGATAGGGACCCGATTGAACAATTATTAAACATTTTCCCTTCTTTCTACCTCAATCCTCCTCCTATTTTCCCCAACTACCCATTTCAGTCTTCTTGTTCATCTTTCTTGTTTGTTGGTTTATAGTTCTTTCTCACTTCCTTATTTGAGAAAGAGAGAGAATTCTCAATTCTGCAACAAAAGCCCCTTTCGCATTCTGCCGCTTCACCCCCTCTTTTCCCCCAAATCCATGGGTCCCACAGCCACTTTCCGCCAGATAGAATAGCCAAATTCTGCCAAGGCCCAAGGGAAATCGAAAATGGAGATCCTGAGAACGAAATGGGCGGCGACGGTGGCCGGGATATGGATCCAATGCGTCGCCGGAGCGTCCTACGCGTTCGGCATCTATTCCCCGGTCCTCAAGGCCACACAGGGCTACGACCAATCCACCCTCGACACCGTCTCTGTCTTCAAGGACATCGGCGCAAACGCCGGCATCCTCTCGGGCCTCCTCTACTCCTCCGTCACCCTCGGATCCGGCGGGCCCTGGGTGGTCCACGCGGTTGGTGCGGCCCAGTGCTTCGTGGGCTACTTCGCGATGTGGGCCTCCGTCGTCGGGCTGGTCCCGCCGCTCCCCGTGCCGGCGATGTGCGTTTCCATCTGGATGGCCGCTCACGCGCAGACGTTCTTCAACACCGCCAACGTCGTCACCGGCGTCCACAATTTCGGGGACTACGGTGGGACCATCGTCGGGATTATGAAGGTTGGTTAATTATTACCTTTTTAATCGTCCAGCCTTTTTTTATTTTTTTTTTACTGTATACTGTATAGTCTGTTATTCCCTCGTGTTCCTCGCTTGTGGTCGGTCTATAACTTCTGCGGGTGATGTGATTCCGTAACGTGTTAAGGTAAACTATTGAATTGAACAATTTAACAACGACAGATGGGAACGCCCACTGTGCCAGATTTTATTTGATTTTGACTAAAAAAGAACTATATACTCTAGACGATAGAGTTGTAATTCGTTATGTTCTAATTTAGGTGATTTTCAGCTTGTTTTAACTTAAATCAAATTATGTTAAGGAGTTTTATTATCTTTTAATTTTGTCTTTTTCGATTTAATGACAAGAAAAGTAGTTTAATCGAACCGTTATCATCACTACTTATGAGTAAATGTCAACTGTCCATTGAAAAGAAAGGTGATGGATAGTGATGGCAATTTCAACCCGCCCCGCGGGTATTATCAGACTTGACCCGCGATGGGGCGGGTATTACCCGATCCGCAATAGCGTGGGGCGGGGCATGAGTATCCATTTCCGACCCACCCTGCCCCGCCGCGTTCTAGACTCATTTTATCTCAATTTCTTACAATTTCGATACATATTTCTCTTATTTGACTTTTCTTCAACTAGTTAGAGTCGTTCTTTCAACTTGTTAGACTTAATTACCCATTCTATTATCACTATTTTCATTCTTAAATTGTTTTACCCTTCGTTTTATCGTAAAAAATAAAATTTACTTGTATTTTTTTCGAATAACATGTAAGAGTTGGTCGACCCGCCCCGTACCCGCGCGGGTTTTACCCGCTCCGCCTCGTAATAATGTGGGGCGAAGCATGGGAATTGAGGTACCCGCCCCGCCCATTGCCATCACTAGTGATGGATGCCATTTTCCACCACAATCTTGAGAGGTCACAATTCCTCCATCACCTGAGTACCATTTACTTTTCCAACTATCCCCTGCTTACTTATTTATAGGAGCACCAACCTTACCAAATAATTTCATCCATGCGTGAAGCAAACTATATCGTCGGTCACATATTTGTTTGAACAAAATATTCAGAAAATCTCAGCCATATATATGATTAAACTATACACAATGATTTAAAGGAGATTTCATCTGATTCGTTTTTCAAGCCGTGTATCTAATTTTCCTTACATATTGGACTAAAATTTTAAACATTTAAGTGTATAAAATTAGTGAGACAATGAATAGTTGGGTGACACTTTTTAATAAACCGTACATAGAATTTGTTCAGTTGTTGCCTTGTCGGTTTAGACTTTTGGGTAGAGCTTAGCGGTGCAATTTCTGTTTTGATAATGGTGATCGCATTAAGTAGAAAAGAGGAAAGTTACAAAGGTTCAGAAGAGCTGAACCAAACGACAAATAAAGGAGAAAGAAAAAATACAAGTAAACGGAAACCGAACGTCAATAGAGAAAACATAGTAGCACTAAAAAGAGGAGAGGAAACAAAGCCTGATGGACCAGACTATCTCCGCTGAAGAGGGTAGAAGAAAAAAATTGAATCAAAGAAAACAGGCAAAACAAAAACCCTTGCAGGGAAAGTGAGATAAGAGATACGACATTACATTTGAGACAAGCACTCACGTAGCCAAACCGAAGATAGGTTCTTGTCGACCTTGTGATGAGCTGTAAGTCAGGAGATGACTATTCTGGAAACTTGTCGAGCAATAACCTTCGCAGTAGTTTGCGTGTTGTTGAGAATGCGTTGATTTCGTTGAAGGCAAACCATCCACACTGTAGCATGGAGAATGCAAAATGAAAACCAGTCGTTGATGTTGCTTAGCGGTACAATTTCTTGCTCTTTTTTTTTTTATAATTCAAAATACTAAAATAGAGTGTTACAATCAACATTTTACTGGGTCACAATGAAAACCGGAGGTCAATCGACCCATATAATTCAGTTTCTTCCCAGCGGCATCTCACTGTAGCCATTAAGTGACCGCCTCATTTCCTTTCCTTCTTCAGAAATGCACTCTGTCCTCCATTTCCTCTCGCATCAATCTTCTGATCTCATTACACACTGTCTCCACCTCCATCTCCCTGTGTTCTTCCTCTTGAATTTTCCTAATCATAGACATGCAGTACGATTCCATCAAGATCGGGCGGTAGTGGTGTTGGTTTTAGGATTTTTTTTTTGTGTGTCGTCGGGACAAGGTGGTAACCTCCATCAAGTTTTCTTTGATATTTTTCTGTATAATTTTCCATTATAATTTAAATATTTGTGCATTGCATCCTATATTAATTTAGGTATCAATTTATTAAAATAAAAATATGTATACGTTATCATCGAGTGATAATATTTCTAACTCATCTACTACCTGATAGATCACGCTTATCCTCAGTTCAACTTCAATCTAAGTTACAGTACTTTTGGCCCTTTTGTAGTTTTTGAAAAAGCATATATTGCTTTGAGTGTTCAGAGAAGTACTTAAAAAGACCACTAAGAATTTGGCTGGCAAATTATTAAAAATACTTTTTAACAATATAGGAAATACAAAATGACTAAAAATGGTTTCTAATATAAAATAGGGCTAATACCACTGGAAATACCAACCTTTAGCGAAAGTGCCATTTATATTATGTAGTTTTCGATATGACAATTGTATACCAGCCGTTAAGTTTTCCGTTAGTTGTTAACAAAAAATACAGTCAGCAATGACGTGGCAGCTGATGTGGAAAATTGTAATAAAAAATAAATGTAAAAAACAACCTAAAAAAATAAAAAAAAATAAAAAACAAAATCAAAAGCAAAGAAGGAAAATGTCTTCTTCATCTTCCTATCTCTCTGGATCTCTCCCCTTCGCCAACCTCTTCTTCCAGGCTCTGTTTTCGGCTGCAGATTGGGGGAATGATTTTTTTTTGTTTATGAGATTTGTGTTAGGACAACCCTAAATCGATTAATCCTCCCACTGTCGAGAATAGACACCTCCTCCCCTTGTCCTCCAAATCCGACACGAACCCTAAATCCTTTCCGTTTCAGTTCTCCCAAATCCTGACATAGCCACCTTCTTCCCAATCTTTAATCCGCCGGTGGTAGTTAATCGGAATCGCAGGCTATTTCTTCTTCCTCTTCCTCTTCCTCGTTCTCAAGCCACCCAATTGAGCCATCCCACCAGCCACGCTATTGTCATCGATCCACCATCGCCGAATGAGAAGCTCGACTCACCGAGAAGGCTGGTTTTGGGAGATTGAAGAGGAAGAAATTCAGAGGCAGGGAGAGGCGTCCTTCTTACAGCAGCGGAAAAAAGAAAGGGTGGGTCATTCTAATAGTCTAATCCTCACAGCGGCTCCCACCGTCTCTCCGTCCTCCACTCCCTTCACCTTGATTCTCGCCTTCCCTCAAGCGCAGATCCAGAACACCACAAAAGGGAATCAGTGGCGGTGATAAGCGTCATCGATGCTACTCTGTTTCCCGGAGCGTTGAAGAGGAGACAAGGAGCCGGAGACAGAGGAAGCTCCTATCTGTTTCAATTGGAGGTGACCCTCCTAATTCCTTGATTTCGGACGAGGAAGCTTCTGTTTCAAAAGCTATCGTGGGATATGAATTGAGATTGGGCAATTATTTTTTCTGTTTTGTTTATGGGATTGAGTGAGAGAGATAAGGTCGATCGACGACTGCCAATCGAGAGAGGCAGAGGCAGAGAGATGTGATTGACGCCGACGACGTCTCAGGCCACTCCCCTACCCGATTGAGCTATCTCGCTATCCTAGTCGTTGCCATCGATCCACCATCGCCAAAGGAGAAGCTCGACCCGCCGGAGAAAGCTGGGTATGAGATATTGAAGCAGAAGAAAGCTGGATTTTGGAGAAAGCTGGGTTTGGGAGGGTTGAATTAACCTTCCTTGGCACCCGACGGCATCTTCTTCCCCAACATAATAAAGCTCGCTTCTTCTTCCTCGCCGGCGGCGGCAGCGGGCTCTCCCCTAGGTGGGTGTGGTCAAGGAAAGGGTGGGTGTGTCAAAGAAAAGTTAATTTTCTATTCAATTATTAATTATTAAATAATTAATTTAAATGTTAAATAATTAATTTTTTATTAATTTCCAACATGGCATCTATGTGTCGTCTACGTGGACAACCCACAGGCGCCACTTCATCAATGGTCAGATAAAGGTTGACCACCGTTAGGTCAACAGTTAGATCTAACGGTCAACAGAATTTCGCGTAACACAGATGACACAAACCCCTAATACGTTGGAATATTTTTGTGTTTATTGAAAATACGTAATATAAATGACACTTTCGCTAAAGGATGGTATTTCCAGTGGTATTAGCCCTATAAAATATTAATAAAAAGATAATAAAATAAAGTCAAAGTGGATATGATTGGATTAGATATGTATTAAACCATATTATTTTCTAATTAGTTTAAAAATATAAATGAAAAAATTATTTTATTTGGGGAAAATTGTAAAAATGGTAAGAATATCATATTTTCAAAACAAATTTTATAAAAGCTCTAAATCGCAAATTTTGTTGTGTTATTTCATAAAATTCATTTTTCAGTTTTTTTCGAAAACCAAACTTATAGAGTTGGTTGACCCGGCTTTAGTTTTTGACGTAAAAAAAAAACACTTCTAAAAATGGGCCAAATATTAACCTAGTCGCATAGAACCCCAATCTTTCTACTTCCCTGCTGGATGGTACTGCTATATCCCATTGATGCAATACTGGAGGTATGATTGGGAGAAGGAACATTGATTATTGTCATGTTAATTTCCATTTTCTTCCTTGTACATATACATCCAGGGCTTTCTTGGTCTGAGCGGCGCAATTCTAATCCAATTCTACGACGCCGTATGCAAGGACAAGCCGGCCACATTCCTTCTCCTCCTCGCCGTCGCCCCAACGCTCATCTCCCTGCTCTCCATGCCTCTCGTCAGAAACTACGACACCACCACCCCGGCCGACAAGCGCCACCTCAACTCCTTCTCCGCCGTCGCCCTCGCCACCGCGGCCTACCTCGCGGCCATCATCCTCCTCCACAACGTCCTCATCCTCCCCTCCTGGGCCCTCGTCGCTTCCTTCCTCGCGCTCCTCCTCCTCCTCGTCGCCTCCCCATCCATAATCGCCGTCAGAGCGCACCGCCAGGAGTCTGACACCTTGGCCCGCGCATTGCTCGAGGAGAGCGGCTCCAAAGCCGCGCAGTTAGGCTCCGCTGAATTGCTGCCAGATGACCTCGACGATCACGTCGAGGTCAATCTGGCACAGGCTCTGCTGAGGCTGGACTTCTGGCTGCTTTTCCTGGCCGCGTTCTGCGGCCTGGGGTCTGGGGTCGCGACGATCAACAATATCAGTCAGGTAGGCGAGTCGCTTGACTACGCGGTCGTGGAGAGGACCACGCTGGTTTCCCTGTGGAGCATATGGAACTTCCTGGGCCGGTTCGGAGCAGGGTTCGTGTCCGACACCCTGCTCTATCGTGGCGGGTGGGCCCGGCCCGCGCTGATGGCGGTCACGCTCGCCACGATGGCGGTGGGCCACGTGGTGATCGCCTCGGGCCTGCCCGCGTGCCTCTACGTGGGCTCCGTCCTTGTCGGGGTCTCGTACGGGTCGCAGTGGTCGCTGATGCCGACAATATGCGCCGAGATCTTCGGGGTGGCCCACCTCGGGACCATTTTCAACACGGTGGCGGTGGCTAGCCCGCTGGGGTCGTACGTTTTCTCGGTGAGGATTATTGGGTACGTGTACGATGAGGTGGCAAGGGAGAAGGGCGGCGGCGGAGGGGATTGCTTCGGGAGTCGCTGCTTCATGGCGTCGTTTCTGATCATGGCAGGTGTGGCCTTCTTCGGGTGTCTGGTGGCGATCCTGTTGTTCTTTCGGACTCGACGGTTTTATCGATCGGTGGTGGTCCGGAGGCGGCGGCGGGTGCAACGGCGTAGTAATTAATTGGTTAGCAATCCATCGCTTGTGCGGTATGATTCGTTTTATATAGAGGACGTTTCAAGTAAGCTTTTGTACAGGATATATATCGTCAATTGAATATTGGAATGTGTGTTTATTTTTGTCCCCGTCACATCAACATCGTGCGTGCTTTAAGGGAGCGGATAGGGTACAAAATTTCGACTAGCAATCTGCAAAATCCGATCGTATCATCATATCACAATATTATATTATATTATCATATCGTAAGACAAATGTACGTCTGAGGTTTTGTATGGTTTTGCAGGCAAAGGGTTTTCTACCGGGACTCAATCCTTAAAATAACTCAACCAAATTCAACTTTGTACATTTGCCATCGTTCATTTGAACTGTTTAAATTAAATTGAGTGAAGAAAATACTCATGTTAGACTTATGAACTCTTAGTTAATCGTTCGGTGGAAATAATTCTTAACGACAAACTTGATGACTGTACAACAAGCTTTACGCTTAAGCTTTTTAGCTAAATCCGTAATCCGACACTAGCTATTGGAATCCCAACAATGGATGCCATGGCCTTGAAGTGCATTTTGTGGACGTTTTATTTGTACCCTTTTATTGGTTTTATAGTATTTTTTTCTTAACTATATTTTTTGGATTCTAATAAGGCTACTCTTCATGGCACATAAATGACTCTTTCATCGATGAATTGGTTAGTGATTGACTGTCGCATGCGATTAATTACGCATGTTTTGCATCAATGCTCCTTTTTGTGTTTATGTTTCAGAGGAGTTAAAATTATGGAAAATAAAGAAAGACAAAATAAAAGAAAAATAAAGACAATGTCATGTTTCTAGGAAGACATGATAAAAGTGGAATGCGTTAGGCTGATTCCTTTTGTTTAAGTAGCCACTATGGCTACCTCCTTTTTAGCCATACAGATTAGAAAAATTAAATCTGAAGGCCCATATTGTGGAAGGGTGTTTACGGAAGGGATCAAACATTATTACTGGGCCCGAAATTTTTGCCTTGTCCCACGCTCACCTTCTTTATTGTTTCTTTCCCTTTTTCCAAACCACCTCCCAAACCCAAAACCCTTTTCCCTTTACCTTTTCCCTTTTGCAGAGAGCAGCGCAGAAGCTTCTCTGTCCGCGATCTCTCTTCGGCGCCGCCCCATTGTTCGCCGCCGCCCTCCGACGGATTTCTCTCCGGCGTTGTCCGCCGCCGCCGCATTATCTGTCCGCCGCCGCATTCTCTCTCCGGCGTCGTCTCTCTTCGGCGCCTGCGTATCTTCCGTCTTCACCATCCCTCCCTCGCGCAAACAGAGAAGGAAGGGTTTTCTGGACAGTCGCAGCCGTCGTTCCTTTCTAGCGAGGGTTGTCGGCGGCTGGTTCTTTTTCCCTTGGTGGATAAACGAGCTTTTTCGGCGTCTCACCGGCGGCGACATTCATCGTATCTCTTCCATCATCCATTCCCGTTGTCGGCTGTGAGCTACTGATCTGAGGTTCGTCTCCCGCCAGAACTCTAATCTTCAATTTTAAACCGTATCGTGGATTTGGTTTTGTTTGCTTTGGTATTCTTCTTGTTTTTGTATTGTTTTTGGTAGTGATTTAGTTTTTGGTTGTTCGGATTGGTAGGTTCTAGTGCATTGGTAGTGCTTTAATCCCTTGTCAATCTATGAATGGCAGTGTTATGTTTGGAATGGTAGTGTTTTTGCTGTTTTGAATTGTAGTGTAATGTTGGAATGGTAGCTTGTAGTTTGTCGATTGGTAGTTTTTCCTGTTAGAATGGTAGCTTTCAGGTTGTCGTGGATTGGTAGTCTTCATTTGGATTGGTAGTTCTTTATATGGATTGGTAGTTCATTATTTGGATTGGTAGTTCTTTATAACTGTTTTTAATTGTTGTGTCATGTTGGATTGGTAGTTCTTTATTTGGATTGGTAGTTCATTATCACTGTTTTGAATTGTTGTGTCATGTTGGATTGGTAGTCTGCATTTGGATTGGTAGTTCTTCACTGTTTTCATTCATGCATTGGTATTTCTTTATTTGGATTGGTAGTTCTTTATCACTGTTTTAATTGTTGTGTCATGTTGGATTGGTAGTTCTTTATCTAGATTGGTAGTTCTTTATTTGGATTGGTAGTTCTTTATCACTGTTTTGAATTGTTGTGTCATGTTGGATTGGTAGTCTGCATTTGGATTGGTAGTTCTTCACTGTTTTCATTCATGCATTGGTAGTTTTCTGCATACATGTGAATTGGCACTGTTCTGTTCGAATGGTAGTTTTTTAGTTTTTTTGAATGGTGGTTTCCTTTCATGCATTAGTAGTTTCCTCCATACATGTGAATCTGGTAGTTTGATGTGGATTGGTAGTCTTCATTTGGATTTGTAGTTTTTTCCAATGCAACGGTTGTGATGCTTGATTAATGTTAAACGACTTACCTCCCATTTTTCCAATTTTAGGAATGGCAAGAACCAAGAACCCCAGTCGTAGGGGCTCAAAACATAAAGAACCTGTTACCTACAGCAGTCGTCAGGTTCAAGTTGGAAGTGGGCAAACCTCGGACTCTATTGATGAAGCTGTGCCGCAGAAGGATATGGGTAAATCTAAAGCACCTGGGAAGAAGTGCAGCCCCGCATCGATTATAGCAATTGTCGAGAATGGTATAACAAATTCAAGGATAGAGCAAATAAAGAAGCTCGGATTGGATTTTGTTTTCCATTTGAAGATGAAAAGGTTTGACAGCGAGCTGCTTATCTGGTTGATTGACCATTTCAATGGGGACAGCATGTCGATTCAGATGGCTGATGGACGTCACCTAGTCCTCACAGTTGATGATATGCAACGGGTTTATGGCCTTCCTCGTGGTCAAAAGCAGGTACCCAATGTCAACATTAACAAGTGCAAGACACTGCCAGGACAAATGTTGCACATTGATTCAAAAGAGAAGCATTGGAACAAGCTTTGGTCCTTGGCAAAAAAGTTACCCGACGTGACTGAGGACGCGATCTGGATCCGGATGTTTGTAATGTTGGTGTTTGGATATGTGTTGGAACCTACAAGTTCGGCAATTGGTCCAATATCAGTGTTGGAATTCCTTCAAGACAACAGTTTCAGCATCTTCTCTGAGTATGACTGGTGTACGTATGTTTGGAAGAAGCTGAAGAAGTGCCGTATGGGCAGCAAGATAGCGTCCTATGCCAATGGGGATCTGCACCTCCTGACATTTTGGTTCCTGGACCGGACATCTGAACCCCTCGACATCACCACCGACCTTCCATCGTGCAAGCATTATGACCATACTGAGGTGTACCAGAGGAGAGCTGGTATGTTGGAAAAGCATATGGCTTTAGATCGTGTGCCATACATCCACATCGGCACTGAGCCCAGGAAGAGGAATCCCTCGGACTCTATTGTGAGGTTGATGGAACAAAGGAAAAAGAAGGCCAAAGTCAGTGAAGCTGGAACTTCATATACAGCCCCTACATTCATTCCTGCATCGTCTACAAGTGACCCATCGATTGGGGATATGGGTATTGTTGAGGTAATTGAGTTATTTGTTGTTACTATGTATTTCTTTAGTCAATCATTCACTCTTTGCAAAGAAGATAAAACTAATACTATTTACTGTCCATGCTTCTAGTTGTTGGCAACTCGTAAATGTCTGGAGGATATGTTGGGCTACATCAAACTAAAGATTGGACACTGCGACAGGCGGTTAGCAGAGCTGAAGGCTGCACCACTTGATGATGTTGTAGTCAACGAAACAAATGAGGAAGACGGTGGCTATCAAGAGGAAGGATTAATTGATACTGATGCATCTGATTCAGATGCTAATGATGGCGATTCTGGACAGATGGGCGATGATGCTAATTCTGGACAGATGAACGATGAAGAAGCTGAAGACGAACAGTCTCAGGAAGAAGGAACTCAAGATGGGTCGTCTGAGGGGGAAGGAAGTCAGGATGGGTCGTCTGAGGATGAAGAAGGTCAGTTACAACAAAGTTTTAACAATTGTTTTCGATATTCATTTGAACATATTGTTAACTATCATTGGCACGGCCTCTTTCATTGCTGTTTTGGTTAGAAGGAGAAGACCATGCTGTTGAACCAAGAACTGTAGGCGATGGTCAAGGCCCTGCGAACAAGGATGCTACCGTGATGAAGGATGACACAGCAGATGCAAGGATGAACAAGGATACTGGTGCTGAAATAACTCCAGGTAATATTGTGTTCCTATATGTTCGTGTTATTTGCGTATTATGGCATATGTTGTGCATTCTCATTTTCATATCTTTGGTCTGCACTTAAACTGTAATGGCAGTGTTTACATTGTAGTGTATTTGTTTTGGTAGAAAATTTGGTTTCGCTTTGGTAGTGTTTGTAATACGCTTTGGTAGAGTTTGTAGCATGCACTGGTAGTGTTTGCATTTGCTTTGGTAGTTTTCAACTATGATTGGTAGTATTATTTCAGTTACACTTGTAGTTCCCATTCTCGGACAGGAAACTTTACTTATGCTCATTTTTTCACATTCATGCAGTCGACAATGGTGGTCCAGCAAAGGGGGCTGCTACCGTTAACAAGGATGATACAGCGGATGCAAGGATGAACAAGGATACTGGCGCTGAAATAACTCCAGGTGTTCGTGTTGTTTGCGTATTATGGCATATCTTTTTCATTCTCATTTTTATATCTCGGTTATGCACTTAAACCGTAATTGCAGTGTTTACATTGTAGTGTATTTGTTTTGGTAGAAAAATTGATTTTGCTTTGGTAGTGTTTGTAATACGCTTTGGTAGAGTTTGGAGCATGCACTGGTAGTGTTTGCATTTGCTTTGGTAGTTTTTCAACTATGCATTGGTAGTATTATTTCATTTACATTTGTAGTTCACATTTTCGGACAGGAAACTTGCTCATTTTTCACATTCATGCAGGTGACGGTGGTGGTTCAGCTTTTACAACCCCCAACCCAGCAAAGGGGGCTGCTCCTGAAGGTAATGACGCATAAATTTTGTGCGCAGCATTTGGGTGTACTTGGGTGTACTTTTACCTTAACTACCAATCGGACAATTATCTTACTTTTTGAACATTGTATCTCTTATGACTATTAGCGGCCTGTAACTAAACCTCTACATTCGGCATGTAAACTACTATGCTATCTCCTGTTAAACTCTTCCATTTCTATTTTGTGTTCTTTTTGTAGTCGTGATCCTTTATTTTTGTATCTTCTGTGCTTTTATGTTAGTATTGGTCCCGCTTTGGGGTTACAAATTTATTAGTTTTATTAAGCTATACCAGAGCCACCTCTGATAACATAGTCGCCATAGGTGTTGGAATTTCAGCCAATCCAGTAGATCTTCATGGGAAAGAGATTGTTTTGTACAACACTGGACCTGTCATAGGTGTACTAGGGACCAGCGATCCAAGCGGGCAGATTATCTCAAGCACCCTTGCTTCCATACAAGCTGACCTAGAAATGAATTCAGACGATGATTTCCAGACAAGGCCCCCAATGCTGCAGACTTATAATCTCCGTAAGAAACGAAACAAGGGTAAGGCATTAATATCACCTTACTGTAGACTTACTGATCTGAAGGAAGACAAAAAAAAACCAATACCTGCAGATGGTATTGTCACTGTTCCCCCGAATCCTCCTTCAGCGAGTGAGCATCTGCCTGATG